GGACAAGTCTCAACATGCTGTGCAGCATAGAGGCCTGTGGGGGCTGCAGTTGTCAATAGTGCAGCCATGTTTAAATGGCATATATCCCCACAAGTTGAGATTGTCTGATGTTTGAAATGAGGTTATGCGTTTTTTGCAAGAATACCACAAAATGATGCTGTGTTCTTCTCAGTGTAAAATATCAAGGGGCTCATGATTCACTGCCCTAAAAATGCCCTGTGTTCCACCTATTCATCCCTCACTTCCTCCCCCGGAGCCCCTGGCAACCACTGATCTTTTTTTTACTGTCTCTATAGTTTTGCCTTTTCCACAATGTCATATCATTGGAATCATGCAGTATTTTTGTGTTTTAAAAATTATTTTTAAGGTATTGACTTTGCCACTCGTAAGATCGCCAAGTTGTTGAATCCACAGAAAGTGATTGAACAAGATGGAGATTCTTTTACCATCCACACATACAGCAGCCTAAGGAACTACCTTGTTAAATTTAAAGTTGGAGAAGAATTTGATGAAGATAACAAAGGACTAGATAACAGAAAATGCAAGGTAAAAATTAGAGTAACAGCCTAGACTCTTTTTTAAAAATTTTATTGTATTTTTGGTGAAGGTTTACGCAACAGTTTAGGTTCCCATTCAGCAATTTCTACACAAGTTGTTCAGTGACATTGGTTATATTCTTCACAATGCATGAACATTCTCATTATTTCCTTTCTGGTTGTTCTGTTTCCGTTAATCTAGTTTCCCTGCCCCCTTACATTATCATCTTTGTTTTAAAGAAATTGTTGACTATTTGGTCTCCTACGGGTGATTTTTTTTTAAGGAGCACAGTACTTATGGGTGATATTCATTATTTTTTGAGCCAATTTGTTATTTAGCTACAAGGTGACCTTGGGTTAGTTTCAGTTCAAGGTTTGAAGAGTACCTCAGGGCAATAGTCTCGGGGAGTCCTTCAGCCTCAACCAGTCCAGTAGGTCTGTTTTTTTTGTTTTAGGAATTTAAGGTTCTGTTCTGCATTTTTCTCCCATTCTGTCAAGGTACATCTATTGTGGCCCTGATTAGAATGGTGGGTAGTGTTAGCTGGGCATCATAATAGCCTAAATTCTTAATTTTGGAAAGCTAACCTGGCATCCTGATTGGTAATACTTGAGGATCCTGCCAGAGCTAACCAACATTTTCCCCCTCCCTAATGCAGAACTTGGTTACCTGGGACAATGACAGACTCACCTGTGTCCAGAAGGGAGAAAAGAAGAACAGAGGCTGGACACATTGGCTTGAAGGGGATAAACTCCACCTGGTACTTGCCCCATTTTCTTCTTATTTTTGATGAGATGATACAATATTAAAGAAAACATTAAACCACAGCCAATAATCCTGCCCTCCTAACCCAACTGTTTCCATTTTGCATGTTACCTTTCTGGTATCTATCAGAATGTTCTGCCTTTTTATTGAACAGAAAAGCACTTTCCAGGTTTCCAAATAGTTTTCTTGTTGAATTCACCATGCATTTATTAGATGTGTATAATAGGGTAGAAAACTGGCTGCATAATTTTCCATCAGGTTGATGAGCTGTCATTTTAGTAAAACATTCCCTTAAGTGTCCAGAAATATTGTTTCAGAGTTTTTTATGCTATTAAACTCCTGTACACAGACCTTTTTGTAGCCATTGATTTACTCCCGTAGGATGAATTTCCAGATGGGATTACTGCTGTGAGAGGCATACTCACCATTGCCTCTTGCTACTTTGTTGCCTTCCTCACTTCCAGAAGGGTATATCTATTTACTTGGCCACCAGCATTATATGAAGGTATAAGTTATAGCTCAACCCAATCAATATTTTTAAAATGTAATTTAGAAGGTATAAAATTCTACCTCAGGGTTTAATCATGGCTTTTTAAATGAGAATTCCTTCCTGCCGTATGTAATGTAATAAAAGCAAACCAGTTGCTGCCAAGTCGATGCTGACTCATGGCAACCTCATTTGTGTCAGAGTAGAACTGTGCTCCATAGGGTTTTCTTTTTTTTTAATTTTTGTTGTGCTTTCAGTGAAAGTTTACAATTCAAGTCAGTCTCTCATACAAAAATTTATACCACACATTGCTATGTGACCCTAGTTGCTCTCCCTATACTGTGACAGCACTCCTCCTTTACACCTCGGATTTCCTGTGTCCATTTAACCAGCTTCTGACCCTTTCTGCTTTCTCGTCTCACCTCCAGACAGGAGATGCCCATTTAGTCTCAGGTATCTACTTGAGTTAAGAAGCATACTCCTCATGAATATCACTGTATGTCCCATAGTCCAGTCTAATCTTTGTCTGAAGAGTTGGCCTTGGGAATGGTTTCAGCTCTGGGCCAACAGAGAGTCTGGGGGCCTTATCTTCTGGGGTCCCTCCAGTCTCAGTCAAACCGTTAAGTCTGGTCTTTTTACTAGAATTTGAGTTCTGCACCCC